GAGGATGACCTCCCTCCACCTGCTGGCCACACTCTGCTTGATGCCCCCCAGGATGCCATTGGCCTTCTTGGCCACCAGGGCATATTGCTGGCTCATGGGCATCCTGTTGTCCCCCAGGACTCCCAGGTTTTCCGGGTTTTCAAGCGAACGCCGTGTGTTGGATGCCAAGTGGTATGAACAGGGAGCGATCCCAGCTCATCCCGGCTTCATACTCACTTTGTGCCGGGAGAGGGTGGGAGTTCGCCACAGCCGCTGGTGCCTTTAATAGGCTGCTCCTATTAGCCACAGAATAACAGAAACTAAATAATTACGAAAGAGCAAAAGAGTGGTTAAGGACAAGTGCGTTGAGATGGAACTTGTCCATACCAGGAGGGTATGTTCCTTTCAAATTAGGACTTGAAAATGATCTCGGCTGCTCCACACGCACCATGCAGCATGGGTTCGATCGGTGCTGGGGGGGGCACAGGGGGTGATGGATGCACCCAGGTCGGGAACTGCCCCGGAGGCTTAACGCGCACCGGGGGTTGGACTGAAACGAGAAGGGAGGAAGCGTTTGTAACCAAAGGGAAATATTAAAATGTCTGTTTCTGTCGTAAATCTACCTGGAATGATGGGGCTGATTGTTTGGGAGTGCATTCCGTCGCGAAACAATAATGAGAAGAGGGAGAGCACATTACTTATCTGCTCTACCTGGCTGGTGGATAAGCGGCAAACGTCTAATTGAAAAAATATCCTGATGGGAGAATTTCTAATAAATTTGTTTGCACCTTCATAGCCCGGAGGAGAGGCAAAAAAAAAAAATCCAATCAGCAGTGTGGAAGTTCCAAAGTTTCCGTTGCATTTCGAGTCTTGATTTTCAGGCTCACTGCTCAGGCTGGCAATCAGAGGCACGGTAATTTTGAAGGCAGGATTCATTACCGTTATTATGAAGGCATCGAGGGCAGAAGGAAGTGCGGAACAAAGGTAGGGAAATAGTAGAAAGCCATTAAAAAAAAACCAACCAAAAACCAAACCCAAAAACGGTCTGACAAACAGAATGATATAGAGAAAGCAGAGTGCTTGTCCTGCCCTGGACCTCCTGGGGAATGGTACTTTTTGTTTTCTCAATGTAGATTTCCAGGTGACTTTTGTTTTCTGGAGAAGAGCTGTTTCTAACAGGTCTTTGTCTAGATCCGCAAAACACTGCGCTGGAGGAGGACAAAAGCGAGGTGTGTGTTTGCAAGGAAGGGGGAGGGATGGATGGATGGATGGATGGATAGATGGTTGCGCGCACAGCATCTGTGTATTTAAATCTCTCAGAGGGCAAAGCTTTTACTTAGGAAAGAGCTCTTCTTTTCCTGATGTGGAAACAAATATTTCTGCAGTGCAAATTCCTGGCCGGTTCCAGGGATGGGCAGAACTATCTCCCCACTGGGATATTTTCTCTCCCTTCAGGGCTGTTTGCTGGAAAGCTCCTGCGCGGCTCTCCTGCCGCATCTCCGTGCGGTCTCAAGACGCGATAGCTTGTAAGCGTCCCGCAGTGCCACGCAGCGGGTCCTGTCTGCGCAGCCTCCAGCACCCACCTGATGTTTTTTTTGGCGGGCTCCTCCTAAAAAGAGCTCAGGAGTGGGACCTCAGCACCGTAATTTTGCCTGTTCCAAAAAAGATTGACTCCCGCAAAGCCCGCTGCTGCCTGTGCCAGGCCGCAGACCGCCTCCTCCCGCAGGGCTGAGCATCTCCACCAAACCCTCCCACTGCTCCTGCGACAGGCTGGAGAGGTGGGCCCATGCCAACCTCATGCAGTTCAACAAGGCCAAGTGCACGGTCCTACATCTGGGTCAGGCAATCCCAAGCACAAGTCCAGGCTGGGTGGGGAATGGCTGGAGAGCAGCCCTGAGGAGAAGGCCCTGGGGGTGCTGATTGACCAGAAGCTCAGCATGAGCCGGCAATGTGCGATCGCAGCCCCGAAGGCCAACCGGATCCTGGGCTGCCTCAGAAGTGTGGCCAGCAGGGCGAGGGAGGGGATTCTGCCCCTCTACTCCACTCTCATGAGACCCCACCTGGAGTACTGCCTCCAGCTGTGGAACCCCCAACATAAGAAGGGCATGGACCTGCTGGAGCATGTCCAGAGGAGGGCCATGAGAATGATCCGAGGGCTGGAGCACCTCTCCTGTGAGGAGAGGCTGAGAGAGTTGGGGCTGTTCAGCCTGGAGAAGAGAAGGTTCCAGGGAGATCTTATTGCACCTTCCAGTGCCTAAAGAGGCTACAGGAGAGCTGGGGAGGGACTTTTTACTGGGGCACATAGTGACAGGACGAGGGGGAATGGCTATAAACTGGAAGAAGGCAGGTTTAGATTAAACATTAGGAAGAAGTTTTTCACTTTGAGGGTGGTGAGGCACTGGAACAGGTTGCCCAGAGAGGCTGTTGAGGCCCCATCCCTGGAGGTGTTCAAGGCCAGGCTGGACATGGCGTTGGGCAACCTGGTCTGGTGGAAGGTGTCCCCGTCTATGGCAGGGGGGGGGGAACTCAATGATCTTCAAGGTCCCTTCCAACCCAAACCATTCTATGATTCTATGAATTCTACCTTCTCCGCTGGGTTGGCAGAGGGAATTTAGGCGGTGGAGCTGGTTGAGTCTCCACATCAGGAAGCCACAGCGGCTCCAGCCAGCACCATGTTGGCTGTGCCGATGATCATTGTACACGTGGAGGGAAATTTCGGTTTAAATTGGATAGCCCCTGGCTGGCTGCTGGGAGAGCTGCTGGTCCCAGCAAACCCGTCAGGGTGCCGATGCCGGCTGCGTCCCGCACTCCTGCCTCGCTGATGGGTTTAACGCAATCCTGCATTTGCGCTGGGATCCCCTTCCACCCTGCTGCGGCTGCTGTGGGTATTAGTTAATGAGTGTCACAATACCCACTCTAATTTCGCTGCTGTTAATTGGTTTGCTGTGCTATCCCGGAGGATGGTTTGGCAATTAGAAGGTGTCCGTGTGCTCCGACGCCGAGCGGAGCTGCGTTACCCCCGCTTGGCTTTACTAACTCTGCTGACTTTAATAGCTAATCCTGTAGCACTCCAAGAAATGGAAGTGTAATTAATAATCTACACTTGCAATCTTCACCTGGATTTATTTAGATTTCTCTTTTATTGTTCTTAATACGGCTCATTTCTGTTGAGGCATAACTGGTGTCAGCTCCGTATCAGAGAGCAAGAGGACACGCGAGGGGTGAACGATCTTCAATTCATCATCCGGCTTGTAAGGGCAAGAGGGTTGGCTCTGCCCCTTGTTAAGTAGATGGTGTCATTCACAGCTGGAACCTTCATCCTTGTCTCGGGAGTGTTTTATGCCATAGCCCATTTTATTGCCATAATTAATTTGTGAACTTAGCCTTGAGAACTGCCCCAGCCATACTTCCAGCCGGAGACAATCCTGGAGGGCTTTTCTTCCCTGCATTTGAAGTCAGAGCAAGCGAAAAGCTCCCGCTGTAGCTAATTAACGAGAAGAGTTTTGCGGTTCTCTGTGGGGGTTTTGTAGCTTAATAAGTGGATTAGCAGTCGAGAAGGGGGCGAAGGGGGCAGGCGGGTTTGCAGGAGCTGCGGGGGCACGGGGGGGACGCGCTGTGCTCGGGCTGCCCTGCCTCGCGCCCGGCCACGCAGGCACAGTCCGGGCAGGGGAAGGGGAAGGGGAAATGGGGGAAAACGTGGCTTCTGGCAGCCCAAGTTTGCAAACAGCAGCAAAGCGGCAGGATGGGGAATGAGGCTTTGCACAGAGACCCCCTCCTGTAGGGTCTGGAGCGGCTTTCTGCGTCGCTGGTGTTGGTTTGCTTTGGGAGTACGGAGGTGTGTGGAAAGGGACTGAATGGGACCTGCCTGTCTTGGAAGTTCCCATCGATGGAAATTGGTTTTTTAAAGCCGATTGATTGGTCTAGTGGGAATTTTAACAACAACTTCATTTGCATGATCTTTGCCGCTGGGTACATCTGTGGTTTCGCACAGGTTTGGTTTGTTCGAACCAGAGTGATTCATTCATTATTTTGCTGAAAAATGAACATAAATGGGCTACGCCACTGTGGCTCATTGCAATAACAGTGATGTGTGTGTGTGTGCTCATACACACTCGAAAGTTTTAACGGGCCAGCTCAGGATTTTCTTCTGGGCATCTTGGTGTGAAGAGCCGGGAAAGTGTTTGCGATGCGTGTAACCCTGACGTGCAGATGACATTTCACTAACTTGACCTTTCTTTTGTCTTTCCAGTTTGATGGGGAGAACATGTACATGGGAATGAACGAGAACGCCCAGGAGTTCCTATCGGCAAATCAGGTAAGCGTTGGTTTGCTTGGGTGGGCAGCGTGGATGGATTTTTCTAAGGGACTTAAGCTTTGCCTAAGCACAAATTCTCTCTGAATCTGCGCTCCTGAGACATCAGGAGGGTCCACGGAGGAGGTCAGAGCTGCCAACCTAGCTGCTCCCGAGGAGCAGTGGTGGATGCCCTTGGACAGGGAGAGGGATGCGCTTGCGTGCCGTGACGGTGCTGCTGCATATTGCTGGAGCCCAGCTTAGCCTCGGCTCCCCAACGAGGCTGAAAAGCTTTGCCCTCAGCATCCTTCACTGGAAATGAAGGTGCGATCGGTGTTTCTGGATGCGGTGAGGTTTCCAAGTATTGTGTGTAGTTCAGGTGTCTCCTTCCCTCACGTAGAGTATTTCCTGTAGCTAAATAGATTAACAGTTAGCTGGCTCGGGGAGAAAAAGGAATCAAAGGTTTCCTGTTTTGGAGCTATAAACCCACACGTGGAGGACCAGAATAGAAGTGCTCACATCTCGCAGGTGCCTGAGCCTTCAGGGCTCTCTCAGGACTTGGATACACACGCAGAACAGACATGTCCGCTCAGCGGAGCCCTAAACATGTATAAAATTAAGCCCACGCTTAGGGGAACTTCAGCACGTGCTTACCTGTGCTCCTGACCAGGAGATGAGAGACGGTCCCATCTGCATCCCCCTGAGGTGGCCTGGGGATCCCGTGCATCTTTGAGGAACCCGATGCCGCACCCTCGGGGCGGAACATCCCATCACATCCCACTGCCTCGCGAGGGAAAGCGCAAGGTCATTGCTAATATTTTCCCGCATCCCATTTCTGGGCTGCGTCGGGCTGTTTCGTTGAGGGCCCCTGTTGACCACAGCCTCGTGCATCGTGGGCTGCGCAGGGCTGTGTCGTGTAAAGGTGATGCGTTGCAAATTTTGAAAGTGTGGTGATTTCCATCCAGCCTAAGATGCTGCTGGCTTTTTGTTGCCCTGGTCGTGGTGTGTGTGCCCCAGGGTGAGCTTACGGTGTGCTTCTGCTGCTGGGCTTTGGCCGTCACCGCTCTACTTCACCACTGTGAATTACAAGGCTAGCGAGTCATGCCTGGAGTATGTAACTCAGACACCAGCGGCAGTGAAAATGCGTGCGTATTCAACTGGAACCAGGATGAAAACCTGCTGTTTGCCTTCTTAGAGTGCAGCAGCGCCTTGGCTCGTTGCTCGGGAGGGTTCCTCCTGTTCTCGCTTTCGAAGAGGGTGTGCGCGGCCACGGCTGCCGAGGCGTGGGGAGAGGGCTGTTCTCACGTGAGAAGGATTTGCAGAGGGTGGGGAAGGAACCGCAAACTTTGTGCTATCGAGTGATTCAGCAGAAACAAATATTTAGTCGATCAACAACGGCCTGCGCTTGATCGTTAGAGCCGGGAATTGCCAGAGGTTGAGTAAACGCAGAAAGGAGAGGGGTCACCCCAAACTGCCCCGGCCGGGGGTCAGCCCTGTGCCCCCCTCCTGTTCTCCAGGGCTGTGCAAAGCCTACGAGCAAGTGGTAGATGCTAACGGGGGCAGTTGTCTTAGGTGCTCTGCCTTTAAAAATTCCCAAGGGATGACTATTCCCCAGCTTCGTCGGGAAGGGCTGGCAGCGCCGCTCGGTGTCCAGCCACATTCCCTGGCCATGATGCGCCTGCGGGATCGGGCTGGCCTGGGGCTGAACTGCGGCCACCGGGAATCCTCCTCTACATGGACAGAAATCGCCTCGCAGGCCCTGTGGCGTCCCGCTTCCCCTGCAGGCGGGTGGCTGGAGGGGAATCAGAAGTGATGCTGCAGGGTGGGGAAGGGCTTGCTGCACTGCCAGCGAGGAGGAGGAGGAGGAGGAGGGCTGACCTCCAAATAAAACCGGAGGCCACCACGTGGTGGAGGATTCATGTACCATTTGAAGCTGGGAGAAGGATAAACCAAACCAGCTTAGATGGCTATAACCTGGGAAATAGAAGTTTGCTCTTTTGTTCTCTGTTTACCTGGAGACTTTAATTTCCTATTTTGAAATCCCAGTTAAGGATAGAAAGGGAGGAAGTAGCTCTCCCTTGGCAGAGGGTGGGCACGGGGCTGGTACCCCCCATTACAGGGATGGGTTTGTGTACGGGGGCTGTGCTGCTGCTTTATCTCCCAGAGCAAATGCTGTGCTCGGCACTGGTGAGGTCACATCTTGAATACTGTGTTCAGTTTTGGTCCCCTCATCACAAGAAAGACATTGAGGGGCTGGAGCGTGTCCAGAGAAGGGCAACGGAGATGGTGAGGCGGCTGGAGCACGTCTGATGAGGAGCAGCTGAGGGAACTGGAGGAGGTTGTAGTGAGGGGGAGGTCAGTCTCTTCTCCCAAGTTACAGGCAACAGGACAAGGGCACGTAGCGATAGGACAAGGGGGAATGGCTTCAAACTGGAAGAGGGGAGATTTAGATGAGATATCAGGAAGAAATTTTTCACTCTGAGGGCGGTAAGCCCCTGGCGCAGGTTGCCCCGAGAAGCTGTGGCTGCCCCATCCCTGGAGGTGTTCAAGGCCGGGTTGGACGGGGCTTGGAGCAACCTGGGCTGGTGGGAGGTGTCCCTGCCCAGGGCAGGGGGTGGCACTGGATGATCTTCAATGTCCCTTCCAACCTAAACCATTCTATGATTCTTTGACGAGAGAAAACGACCTTAAGTTGCACCAGGGGAGGTTTAGATTGGATATTAAGAAGAATTTCTTCACCAAAAGACTTACCAAGCATTGGCACAGGCTGCCCAGGGAAGCGGTTGAGTCACCATCCCTGGAGGTATTTAAAAGACAGGTAGATGTAGCGCTGAGGGACATGGTTCAGTAGTGACTTGGCAGTGCTGGGTTGGTGGCTGGACTTGATGATCTTAGAGGTCTCTTCCAACCAAAATGATTCTATGGGGAGTGGGGACTGACATGGAAAATAGAAGGGGAAGTTTGTCTCATCTTGCGTCTCCAGTTCCCCTCCTTGTCCTGCTATGTTTGGGACAGTCAGAGAGGAGCTGGGAGTGGGATTAAGGGGTGCAGGGGTGTGGGGTGGCACCCGGGGCTCCGCCGGGCCGGGTATCCCCGTGGGATGCTGCGATGACCCCCCATAACCTCGCCCATGATGGACAGAGGGGAGCAGGGAGGGAGGGCGAGGGTCCCAGTTCATGCCCTGCCCCTGTTAGTGGTGGTTCACACCTAGCATGAGCTTTGGCCGAGGAGGATGGGGAGCAGCCTTCCTCCCTCACCATCGTGAGTTTGTCATCTCCATTTATTTACCTGCACATCAGCGCTTGTTTACCAGAGAGCGCTTTATAGCACCGGTCATGGCTTTATTACTACTAACACAACTCTTCTATTTAAATGGGGGTTCCAGATGTTTTTTATTGGTTGCTGAACCTGTCGTAACCTGCACGAGTACATTAAACAGCAGGAGCACGGTTTCACAAGCTGCTAAATCATCGGCCCCGAGACGCCTGTGCAGCGCACGTGGAGCATCGCTCAGCCCGTGGCATCCTTGGGGACAAGAGGAATCGTACATGCTAGTTACTGAAGCCATCACACTGTAATAGGTTGGGCTGGTGGGTTGGGGTTTTTTTCCCCCATTTTTGTCTTAAACTGGTTGCACTGGGTGCTGTTGGGCATCTGCAGCTCCCGGCAGCAGACGCAGCTTCACGCTGAGCCCAGCTCAGGCGCAGGGGCTGGGACGTCCCGCATTAACGGTGGGAAATCTTAACTTCACATCGCCTGGTTTGGGGCACACTTGCTTATTTACCTCAGTTTTGCGCTACACACTGAGCTCCTCTGGTACCTTGTGGTGGTCTGGGGTGAGACTGTCACCATGAGATCCCCCGGACCTGCGCGAGGGCTTCCAGCCCCTCCGTGCTTCCAGGTGGGTGGGAAAGGCTGGGAGAGCGAGAAATCCATCTCTGTGCGTGGCTCATTTCAGCCGGAAAACGTTTAGGGGTCCACAGATGGAAGAAGTTTGATAGTCTTCGTTATAGGAAATTCTGTATTGCCTTGTGATTTTTCTTTCAAAATACCTAGAAGGAGTTGGGCAGAAAGCAGAATTCAGTTTATCACCTCTCCCCCGGCCCTGCTTTAAACCCAGAAGGGTTTCAGTGGCTCCTGCTTGTCAGTGCAATGCTTTACACTTTCTGCCCAGAGATCCAGCAACCGCTTAAGCTCTTGAGTCATCCTTTCCCATTGCGCAGACGAGATTATTCTCATTTTGCAACTGGAGCTACAGAGAGGGCATGGTTAGGGCAGCTCCTGTGCTTGAGCGGTCCTTGGAGAGCATCGTGATCCTGTGGCACCCTGACACCCGCCTTATCTCAGCCCCTTCTACGGTTTTTGATCACAGAATCACAGAAGAGTTGAGGTTGAGAGGGACCTCTGGAGCTCATCTGGTCCAACCACCCAACACTCCAGGGATGGAGACCCCTTAGCCTCCCTGGGCAACTTGTGCCAGTGCTCAGTCACCCTCCCAGCAAAATAAATATTTCCTCATGTTCAGAGGGATCCTCCTCTGCTCCAGTGCGTGCCCATGGCCTCTGGTCCTGTCCCTGGGCACCACTGAAGAGAGCCTGGCTCCATCCTTTTTGCACCCTCCCTGCAGGTATTTATAGATGCCAATGAGATCCCCCAGAGCCTTCTCTTCCCCAGGCTGAACAGCCCCAGGTCCCTCAGCCGTTCCTCACAGGAGAGATGCTCCAGTCCCTTCATTACCTTTGTGGTCCTTCATTGGACTCTCTCCAGTATGTCCGCCTGTCTTGTACAGCGGAGCTCAGAACTGGACCCAGTACTCCAGCTGTGGCCTCACCAGTGCTGAGTAGAGGGGAATATCAATAGCACAAAATAATTTAAAAGAAAGAGAAACCAAATCATATCCAACTTGGGGTGAAGGGTGAGTGGTGCAAGGACAAATCGCTTCTTTATTTCTGCCTGGTTTGGATATCCCATTACCCGCAGGTCTCAAGGGGATTGAGAATAGGACTGCTAATCACCACTATGAA